TTTATGGTTTTTGCCACATTTCTTCTAATGTTTCTTTTACCCTAAGGTGGAGGGTATTAAAAGTTTGGCCCGGCCGAACTTAATGTTTTTTACTTGTTATTATATATTTTGAGTTAGGTATTGTGCCTGAACTCAGGTTCTAAATATTGTCCTTCTTTTTAGAAAATAAAAGTGAGTAAATTTAAACAAAATATGTATGTTTAACAAAAAATTATTATCTTTCTATGTTGTCGTGGTAAAATTAAGAAGATATAGTAATTTCAAATAAGCATTTACCTTGTCAAATTTCGCTGCATAAAAAATAGGATCCCATCTCTGTATACAATGGATTTATAAATACAAAATTTTAACAATGAGATGTTGACAAACGAGTATTTAAAAAAAATGTAAACACATGATTACATGACTATACCTCCTTATCCTACCATGTATGTTGCTCTTTTAGGGTCAGTAATTTTTAAACATTTAAATGAATTTGAATTAAAATCAGAGACTCTCAATATTAGATTTGCAAGTTCATTTAATATTTATGAAGTTTTGTTCAGGAAACACCATAAACAAAAAAAAAAAAATATACTTCAACATATTCAAAAAAATGTTGTTGTCTATAAAATCAATTTTATGAATATTATCTCTTATTAAGTCCTTCATTTGGTTAAGTAAATGAGTTTCGGTTGGTTTTTTTTAATAATTTGTAACTGCTATTAATAACATTGAGAATATACTTCAAAAAAGATATATTTTATTTATTTCGTTCAGATGTTCAAAAATAATTTGGCAACGTTTAATGCTGCTTTAAGTTAAAATTTGAGACAATTTGTGTCGATCATTAAAATATCTTCATTTTTGAGTCAAAAATCGGCATTTCCCATAAAAAATCTTCAAAATCGGCAAAAATGGCAGTCCTGCATCAGATACAGCCTTGAAATAGGGTTGCCAAGTTTTGTCAAGATAGGTTCTGATTTAGATCAATATACGTTTGTTTATCAATTATTATATAGTTTTCACATGTTAGATCTACCCGATTTCAATGTAAAACTATTCTATCTATTGCCACACCATATAAGAACAAGTAAAAAAGCTGTAAGTTCGGCCGGGCCGAACTTTTAATACCCTCCACCAATTGGTACAAATTTGGCAATTTCCAAAAAATAAAATCCGTTAAAAATTCTGTTAATATCTTAAGAATGCCGAATGCTTATACGACGACTTGGGCCTGCATAGGCAACTTTTGTCATAAGTTATTACAATATTTAAATGCGAAACTTGAAGAAAAATCTGTTTATAATGAAGACGTGGACCTACATGGCCCATTTTCTGTTTTATGCTGCAGTATCTATTACGAACTTCAAATACCAAATTTGGAACAATTCTGTTAAATAATGTCGCTAAAATCATCAAAATACCGAATATCGGGGGGTACCATTATATAGGGGCTATACGAAGACGTGGACCTACATAGATTATTTTCTGTCTTAGGCTCTAGTATCCATTACGAACTTCAAATGCCAAATTTGAAACAATTCCGGTGAATAATGTCGCAAAAATCATCAAAATACCGAATATCGGTAGGTACCGTTATATGGGGGCTATATGATTTCTTGGACCTACATGGCCCATTTACGAACTTAACCTGCCTACTGGCAAAATATACATGTGTGCAAAATTTTAGCCTTCTATCTCAATTTGTTCGAAAGATAGCGTGATTACAACAGACAGACAGACAGACACACAGACAGACAGACGGACATGGCTAAATCGTCTTAGAGTTTTACGCTGATCAAGAATATATATACTTTGTTGGGTCTGACATGAGTATTTCGAGGAGTTACAAACGGAATGACAAAATTAATATACCCTCCATAGTTTGGTGGAGGGTATAAAAACCATAGTACTTGTATGATTTATTTACACAAATTTTCGATATTAATGCCCACTTTTATTTTTAATGCCCACACTGCGCAACGAAAAATAAATTCTTAATTAATACTTATGGGAAAAGTCCAGCAGATATTGGACAGGACATCGCTAATGTGACGACAAAAAACCTTCGTCATTTTTGCCCACACAAAACGCTATAATAAATTCCAATTAGCCTAGCAAAATTATTGAGAGCAACCACACTCAAGAGAGATGAACCGTTATCACAACAACACACAGCATCACTACCATTGGCGGTGATGAGCACGTGTTAGGTTGTTGTGATAACCAAATTTTGTAAACAAGTTCCCGTTACTCCACTGCGAACACGTGGTGGAGCCGGGTATAAAAGGGCAGTAGATGGCAGAATCGTGGCAGTCAGTGCCAGACCGTGAACGTGACAACACCAGCTTCGGTAAGTGACATCCTTCCTGAGAGTACTTATACAGGTCTCTAATTCTTGAAACCCGGTGGTATCCTTTACCGTATCCTTGAATATCCTTGTAGTGCTTGAGTGCTTATTAAGGTCTCTTGCAATCATATCCTTGAATATCCTGTAGTGCTTGAGTACTTATTAAGGTCTCTTGCAATCATATCCTTGAATATCCTGTAGTGCTTGAGTACTTATTAAGGTCTCTTGCAAACGTATCCTAGATCCTTGTAGTGCTTGAGTACTTATTAAGGTCTCTTGCAATCATATCCTTGAATATCCTGTAGTGCTTGAGTACTAATTAAGGTCTCTTGCAAACGTATCCTAGATCCTTGTAGTGCTTGAGTACTTATTAAGGTCTCTTGCAAACGTATCCTAGGTTCTTGTAGTGCTCGAGTACTTATTAAGGTCTCTTGCAATCATATACTTGAATATCCCGTAATGCTTGAGTACTTATTAAGGTCTCTTGCAAATGTTTCCTACATCCTTGTAGTGCTTGAGTACTTATTAAGGTCTCTTGCAAACGTATCCTAGATCCTTGTAGTGCTTGAGTACTTATTAAGGTCTCTTGCAAACGTATCCTAGATTCTTGTAGTGCTTGAGTACTTATTAAGGTCTCTTGCAAATGTTTCCTACATCCTTGTAGTGCCTGAGTACTTATTGAGGCCTCTTGCAATCATATCCTTGAATATCCTGTAGTGCTTGAGTACTTATTAAGGTCTCTGGCAAACGTATCCTAGATCATTGTATTGCTTGAGTACTTATTAAGGTCTATTGCAATCGTATCCTAGATCCTTGTAGTGCTTGAGTACTTATTAAGGTCTCTTGCAAACGTATCCTAGATCCTTGTAGTGCTTGAGTACTTATTAAGGTCTCTTGCAATCATATCCTTGAATATCCTGTAGTGCTTGAGTACTTATTAAGGTCTCTTGCAAACGTATCCTAGATCCTTGTAGTGCTTGAGTACTTATTAAGGTCTCTTGCAATCATATCCTTGAATATCCCGTAGTGCTTGAGTACTTATTAAGGTCTCTTGCAAATGTTTCCTACATCCTTGTAGTGCCTGAGTACTTATTGAGGCCTCTTGCAATCATATCCTTGAATATCCTGTAGTGCTTGAGTACTTATTAAGGTCTCTTGCAACCGTATCCTAGATCCTTGCAGCGAAAGATCTCTTGCAGCCGCCTCCTTGAATATCCCGTAGCCTGCTTGAGTACTTATCCAGGTCTCTCGCACAGAATCCATCCCGAATCCTGAGCACCCTGTTCCTGTATCCTTGTCCCGTTCCTTGAGTACTTATCCAGGTCTCGAGTGGAAGAATCCCCAATCCCGGACCGAAGACGAGTAGAATAGTTGTTTTAATCTATAGTTTATATATATATTTCAAGTTCCACTTTGAATAAAAATATAATATCAAAACGTAAACCGCAGTCTTTCTCTTTCTGTCTCAATAAATAAAATATCTGTACGAACCCCTCAATAAATAAAATATCTGTACGAATCAACATAGAATTTTACGCTGATTAAGAAAATATATACTTTGTAGGGTCTAAAATGTAAATGTACAGAATGACAAATTTAGTGTACCCTCCATACAATGGATTAGGGTATTAAAAGAAGACACACGTATCGGCATTGTGATTTAAAATTTACATCGAAAAGTAAACAAAATGGAAGGGGTAAGTTCCCTCCCTTCGCCAATTTTGCAAAAAAAAAAAATATACGAGGAGTTAACAATGGGGTATTTTTGATCCCTTTTTAAAAATATGGTTAAAAACTCACTTTAAAACGGATTGTAACAAATTAAAATATTCTAAAAAAATATTTGTCATAAAATTCTACTATACGTCCTAGATGTCAAGGGTCTAAATCTTACTTACTAAATTTAATATGTATTTGTGTTTGCTTATAATATAAACAATTCCGTTGTATTATTTTGCCTTTGGTTTTCATAATTCTGAATTTAACGATATACCAATTTTTTTTAAATATTTTTAGGAAAAAATTCCACTTTCATATAATTTGACTAGTTCTTTCTTCAAATCCTTCGCGTGAACAGTGGGCGATATAAAACAGGACAACCTATAGCAGTAAACAAAATATAAGCGTTTTGAAACCCTTCAACTGGACTAGAATTAAAATACTCGCTTATAAAATTCTTCCCACAATCTATGGATCTCATATAAATGTATATTATTTCTTTCAGTGTTTCATATTTTAATGAAAGTGAAATTTTTGTCGTTCTAAATTGAATCTATTTCGTTGTCATGGCCACACGAAAATTGTTTCTATATGTACTTGTGCCGATGAGCCTGCTTCGCACACCCCCTTCCATAGTTAAAAATACATTCAATGAAGTTCAACAAATGCCGACGCATAAATGAAGAAGAAACAGAAAAACTAGACACACACACCGACACTCGTACATACCACCACACATGGTTCAATTATGATGGAAATTCACTTCGTCCATGGGCGGTGTGGGACAACGCACAACGCCAGATAGTCAGTCAGCTGTTGTCTTGGCGTGTCACTCGTCGAGTGTAAGGCGGGTAGCGACGTCGTTGCAGGGAATCCAAATAAATATGAAGAAGCGGACCGGCCATATGCTTCGTAAACATGCGACATGGGGGTTTCTATGGCATCGTCACCGAAACAAACATTCAGTTCATTTCAGCTGGAAATCAGCGAGGGCGTCTCTTGTGGTTCGCTAGATTGTAGTGTAGCTGGTGTTCACAGCATCCGAATAGATAGAAAGAGCAACAAGAAACAGGAAAAATGCCAAATTTTTCAAAATTGACACAATTGCGAGGTGAGAAAACCAAGGCGACGAAACAATATTCATATTTTTTCTCAACATTGCATAATATTCTTTACGTATTCAAATTAAATCGAATATATTTATTTTTACAATACTTCCATAGGTTTGCAAGTGTATCTCTTGAGGGGATCGTTGCACCGCTCATACTCCTCGTCACCAGCCAATGCACAATTTCGTGAAATAATCTCAGAGCAAATCAAATCCATCAAAGAGGCTGGCACATTTAAATCGGAACGCATTATCACTTCGTCCCAGAGCACTCAGATTACAGTGGAGGGCAGCAACAAGAACATTTTGAACTTTTGTGCCAATAACTATTTGGGCTTGGCTGTAAGTATTGACTTAATTAGCTGTGTAATTGCAATAATAGAAAAAATCTGAATTGATTGATTGAGAAAATTTCTTAGAGAAAACCTAGTTCAATTTAAAGTATTGTAAAGAACTAATGCCTTTTCGTTCACTTATTTTCTTTGCAGAACAACCCCGAAGTAATTAAATATTCCAATGAAATCCTTTCCAAATATGGTGCTGGCCTCAGTTCGGTCCGTTTCATTTGCGGAACTCAAGATATCCATAAGAATTTGGAAAAGAAAATCGCCCAATTCCATGGACGCGAAGATACTATCCTCTATGCTTCGTGTTTTGATGCCAATGCTGGTCTCTTCGAGGCTATTTTGACTCCTGAAGATGCTGTCTTTTCTGATGAACTCAATCATGCTTCCATCATTGATGGCATTCGTTTGTGCAAAGCTCAAAAGAATCGTTACAAGCATCGTGATTTGAATGGTGAGTACGACAATTCCAATTTATCTTAAAAAAAAAGCAGTAAGTTCGGCCGGGCCGAACTTTGAATACCCTCCACCATTTGGAACGAATTTGAAAATTTTCAAGAAATAAAATCCTTAAACAATTTGTTACAATTTTAAAAATTGGGGTCTATACGACGTGGACCTACATAGGCATTGTTCGTCATAACACATTACCATATTCAAATTCGAAACTTGAAATAAAAGAATTTAACCCGCCTACTGGCAAACTAAATATGTGTGCAAAATTTTAGCCTTCTGTCTCAATTCTTTCGAAAGATAGCGTGATTACAACAGACAAACGGACATAGCTAATCAGAATTTTACGCTGATCAAGAATATATATATATATATATATATATATATATATATATATATATATATATATATATATATATATATATATATATATATATAGAGTTACAAACGGAATGACAAAGTTAATATAACCTCCATAGTATGGTAGAGGGTATAATAAAACAAGATAAAAAGTATCAATCGGGTTTGCGGCAGATTTTGGCTGAGGGTATATAAAATCGAACATTTCAGTGTGAGGTAAAAAAAACTCCAACAAAGTCAAAGCCATAATTTTCACTTCTTTTTGAATTTTATTGAATGAAAGCAAAAAATGTCGGAAATAGCATCAAATATTAGAATAACTTTAGATTTGTTCGAATTGTTCACTTTTGGCACGAATTATGTCCTTCAAATGGCCAATGAAACCGTCACACGCTGCCCGAAAGTTGCTCTGCGGTATTTTGGCCCGGCGAAGCGATTGCTTGAGGTAATCAACACTTTAGTAGTTTTTAGTGCCAACCTTGCTTTCCAAAAAACTCCAGACACAATAGTCCAACGGATTGGTATTGGTGGAGATTTGCGCGCTGGAAATGAAGCGAGGAACCTCATTTTGTAACCATTCTTGGGTGGCGATCGCTCAGTGCGATGGTGTTGAGTCCTGTTGGAATGTCCAAGGTCCGCGGCCAAAATATTTGTGTGCCCAAGGCTTTAATACACCCTCCAGAATATTTTCGCGATAATATTCGGCATTTATTCTGATGCCACGGTCGATTAATACGAGCGGAGAGCGGCCATGAGCTGTTATGGCGGTCCACAACATCACCATGGCCGGCGCTTGAGTTCTGGTGACCAACCGAATATGCACATTTTCAGCTGACCTCTTTGGCAAGTAAACGCGATAATTTTGTTTGTTTACAAACTGCTAGACAACGAATGTTTTCTCATCAGAGAAAATCAAATTTGGCAGTTCACCACTTTCGACCAAGCGAAGCAACTCTTTACCTATTTTGAGTCTATTTTCTTTCTGTTGCAGTGTAAGTTTTTGAACTTCTTGGAATTTCAATAGCTTTACCCCGAACTCATTTTTCAATATTTGCCGAATGGAATATTGCGATATGATCAGCTAACGTGCAATTTTTGGGCCACTGCGACGCGATCAAGTCGCTTCTATACTTTTCGAACCATTTCTGCTGATGTTTTCTTCCGTCCACTTCCTTGACGTCGGGCTACGCCACCAGTATCACGGTAACGAGTAAATGCTGGAGTGCTTTAACGATAGCCACATGTAGTTTTCCAGCCAAATATAAATAAATCACACTATCACTCTTGAGTATGGTACTCGAATAACTTTTTTTTCGGGAAAATTCTCAACTAAATGCTTTTGTCACTGGAATAATTTTAACAGCTGTCGGACGAGTGGCTTATAAATGACAGCAGTTGGTTGCAGTTTTTTCATCTCACCCTGTATATGGATGTTTCCTACACCAACTGTCAATTCGGCTTAAAATTGTGACTAACATAACCAAAGGTTCTCAAATCGGCGGGTACAATTATGTTCTAAAACGTGGACTTATATTGGCCATTTTCAATACCTCTCAATCCTACAGACCTAACCCACATCTGAGTAAAATTTTATGAACTTCATTTCGTTCGAAGACTGAAGTGATTTCTACGGACGGACGGACATCACTTAATCGGCATAAAATTAAGTAGAAATTTGTGGGGTGGAGGTGTCTCAGAAGAAATGACAAACTTAAGATATCCTCCATACTATGGTCGAGAGCATACAAATTGGTGAAGTAACGAATTATGCTACACCGTTTATTATTTTGTTTTGAGATATCATCTGATTGCTTGCAAGTTTTTGCATGGATTCCTTCAGTTTACTTTCCACAGTTTTCTTGCGAAAGATAATGAAACTACTTTATTCCTAGGGGAAAAGTAACCATACAGACCTAATATTAGCTGTTTCAGAGTTTAGCTTGGGTCAGTATCCGGCAATCTATTTTCTTACTTTATTAGTGCCGACATTAGAATGCTTGATTGTCCAAAGCCCTCAAACTTGACGAGAAAAACAAAGGGACCTTGACTGTATGCCTTGAGTGTTGTATTATAGGGTCTTTAGTGTTGATGTCAGAGATCAACATACACAGAAGGGATGTCAACTATTCGCCTCATGGATCCAGCGACCAATGGCATTCTATCTTAGGATACCTTCCATATGTTTAGTGTTCATTTTAAAACTATAACAGCTTAAAAGTTGCACTGCACATAAATATGTTGTGACTATAAACTTCTATTTAATTCTAAACTCTTTTTTGTAAACATTTAACTCTTCATTACAGATTTGGAAAATCAATTGAAATCATCGACTGCTCGCATGAAGTTGATTGTTACCGATGGTGTCTTCTCCATGGATGGTAATATTGCACCACTCAAGGAAATCGTTTCGTTGGCCAAGAAATACAACGCCTTAACATTCATTGATGAGTGTCATGCCACCGGTTTCTTGGGTAAAACTGGACGCGGTACCGAAGAGTATTGCGAAGTTATGGGCAGTGTAGATATCATCAACTCTACTTTGGGCAAAGCCTTGGGTGGTGCTGCTGGTGGTTATACAACTGGTCCAAAGGAACTCATTACATTCTTGAGGCAAAAATCTCGTCCCTATCTGTTCTCCAATACCCTGCCACCAGCTGTTGTTGCCACAGGCACCAAAGTCCTGGATATGCTCTTGAAGTCAAGCGAATTAACCGAAAAAGTTCAAACAAACACCAAACATTTCCGTGATGCCATGACCAAGGCCGGTTTCACCATTGCCGGTGAAAATCACCCCATTTGTCCAGTTATGTTGGGCGATGCTCGTCTCGCTTCCATTTTTGCCGATGAAATGTTGAGTAAGTATCGTAAATATAACACTTTTGAGGTTTTATGAGATACTTAATGTTTTTTTTTTTTTTTTTTTTTCAGAACGTGGCATCTATGTCATCGGTTTCAGTTACCCTGTAGTTCCCAAGGGCAAGGCTCGCATCCGTGTTCAAATTTCTGCTGCCCACACTAAGGATGATATTGATCATGCCATTGCTGCCTTCACCGAAGTTGGAAAGTCACTCAAAGTGATCCAGTAAAATGAGACATGAAATGTCGTTAGAATATTATTCCGGTCAAAATGTGCATTTATTTTCTGTAGTAATAATAAATATTCTATTATTTTAACCTTTTACAATTGTTTTACTTCATATATGATTTGTTTAGCCTACGCCACGCTCTGGTACAGGATATTATGTCATCTATACGAGTATTAATAAAATTAACAGACTGACTCCTCGATTTATCAACGCCCACACAAAACGTTTGAATCTAGAAATTTTGGATGGGGGTCACTCTTGGTCCGAAGGTGTCAGATAAGACTGGGTTTTTGGAAACTCGTACTAAAACAGTACGAAAAGCACTAAAAGTTATCAATTATGGTACCCTTTGTATTTTACTTACCAACTTGATATATGACGTTTGGTTATGTAGCAACTTTGGAAATTCGTACTTCGCCATAATTTTACATTTTTTTAATTTTATTGAATGAAAGCAAAAAATTTCGGAAATGGCATCAAATTTTAGAACAAGTTTAGATTTGTTCGAATTGGTCATCTTTGGCTCGAATTATGGCCTTCAAACGGCCAATGAAACCGTCAAACACTGCCCGAATGTTGCTCTGCGTTATTTTGGCCCATTCCCGGCGAAGCGCTTGCTTGAGGTGATCGACACTTTGCTATATTTGGTGCCAACCTTCCTTTCCAAAATACTCCAGACACAATGGTCCAACGGTCTGCGGCAAAAATGTTTGCGTGCCCAAGGCTTTAATACACTTTCCAGAATATTTTCGCTATAATATTCGGTATTTATTCCGATGCCACGGTCGATTAATACGAGCGGAGAGCGACCACCACCTGTTATGGCGGCCCACACCAACACCATGGCTGGCGCTTGAGTTCTGGTGGCCAATCGAAAGTGCACATTTCAGCTGACCTCCTTGGCAAGTAAACACGAACATTTTGTTTTTTTTTTTTAACTGCTGGGCAACGAATGTTTTCTCATCGGAGAAAACCAAATTCAGCAGTTCACCTCTTTCGGCCAAGCGAAGCAACTCTTTGAGTTTATTTTCTTTCTGTTGCGTTGTAAGTTCTTACACTTTTTGGAATTTCAATGGCTTTACCCCGAGCACGAAAATTATCAAATGGTACTAATTTTAGCTGTTGGTGTCTAATGTGGAGAGAATCGTAGGGAAGATGGTTTTGAAAATGTGTGCTATAGTTATTCGAAATGTACTACATTGAACTCATTTGGTATTGGGTGAATAGAGCTGAAACCGTGGAATTTTATAGGTTTGAGATATGGAACGATTATGCAAATGAGTACTAAAATTTTACGAAATGGAAATGGATAAATGGATAGAGTTGAAACCCCGAAAATTGATATTGATATCTCTTTTGGTATCTGGTTTGAGATCTGGCAAATGCCTACTATAATTGTACGAAAATCACTGAACGGTACTAATTTTGGATCTGTTGGTGTCTAGGATGAAGAGATGTAGATTGTTTTGGATATGCGTACTTAATGTAACTAAATTTATTATTGGGTGAAGGTATAGAACTGAAATTTAATATTGAGATCACCGTTGGTTCCTAGGGTTTACATGTTGAGACGTTGAAATAGTTTTCGACAACAAATTGGATGTGGCTCCATTGTGCAATGGTTTCACTAATATCCTCCTCGGTAAACTTCATAATGGAAGATTTTGAATAATTTGTGGTGTAAAAGGTAAACATTTTTCTGTTATTTTTTTCGAAAAAGGAAAGATTTGAACAATATATACAAACTTGAAATTCTGAGAATTTAGTACATTGTATGATGTTTTCATCAACATTTACTTTTTCAAACTGAAAAAATGTGTGTTTTGAGTACTAAGGCCTAACACGAACTTTTGAAAAGAATCTGAAATTTTATGGTGGAATTTTCGCTGACGAAATAGCGGGTAGCATGCCAAAGGAAACGAAATATATGCATAGTTTTTTTGCTGATCTCTTTCACTACCTCAGTCCGTCGGTCCATGTATTTTTGTAAACAAAGTAACGGTCGCATTTATTGTCTGATTAATTTAAATACGAACATACGGACGAATTTAGCGTGAAAGTAAGTATGACAGATTTGGTGAAAATCGGTTCAGATATAGCTGTAACTTCCATATTTAATTCTTCCGATGTGATACCTAAGTCCGCCAAATGCCGCAATTTACAGGGTGAGATAAAAAAATGCAACAAAGTCAGACGCCATAATTTTTACATTTTTTTAATTAACCTCTTAAATTGACCTCTTTGGCAAGTAAATACGATCATTTTATTTGTTTACAAACTGCTGGACAACGAATGTTTTCTCATTGGAGAAAACCAAATTCGGCAGTTCACCACTTTCGGCCACGCGAAGCAACTCTTTAGCTCTTTTGAGTGTATTTTCTTTCTGCTGCGGTGTAAGTTCTTGCACTTTTTGCAATTTCAATGGCTTTACCCCGAGCTCATTTTTCAATATTTGCCGAATGGAATATTGCAATATGATCACCTCACGAACCATTTTTCGTCACCGCGACGCTGGTTTCTATCAAGTCGCTTCTTTACTTTTCGAACCATTGACTAATGTTGCTCTTTTCTTCCGTCCACTTCCTTGACGTCGGGCTACACTACCAGTATCACAGTAACGAGTGATGGTACGAGACACAAAAGATAGCCACTTGTGGTTTTCCAGCCAAATAAAAAGATATTTCGAAGGACCTTCAAGTATGTAGTATCAGCCCATAGTGGATGAGAAATGAATTGCAGACGTTGCTTCTGTCGACTACCATTTGATACTATCCATGCAGGACGCACTCCGTGAAATGCACTTTAAATAAGAGCGCAGAAAGTAGGTTGAGTTATTCTTTGCCTCAAAATCGCAGGAGTTCTTCCTGTACTGAATAGATGACTTCGTTGATCCACCATTTTTCGGTGTTTCGGTTTTATGGTGTTTTTTTTTTATACCCTCCACCATACTATGGAGGGTATATTAATTTTGTCATTCCGTTTGTAACTCCTCGAAATACTCATGTCAGACCCACCAAAGTATATTTATTCTTGATCAGCGTAAAATTCTAAGACGATTTAGCCATGTCCGTCTGTCTGTCCGTCTGTCTGTCTGTTGTAATCACGCTATCTTTCGAACAAATTGAGAAGGCTAAAATTTTGCACACATGTATATTTTGCCAGTAGGCAGGTTAAATTCGTAAATGGGCCATGTAGGCCAAAGTTATCATATAGCCCCCATATAACGGTACCTCCCGATATTCGGTATTTTGATGATTTTAGCGACATTATTCACCTGAATTGTTTCAAATTTGGCATTTGAAGTTCGCAATGGATACTACAGCCTAAGACAGAAAAAAATCTGTGTAGGTCCACGTCTTCGTATAGCCCCTATATAACGGAACCCTCCGATATTCGGTATTTTTGATGATTTTAGCGAAATTTTTTAACGGAATCGTTCCAAATTTGGTATTTGAAATTCGTAATAGATACTGCAGCATAAAATAGAAAATGGGTCATGTAGGTCCACGTCTTCGTTTAGCCCCCATATACCATACCCCCGATATTCGGTATTTTGATGATTTTAGCGACTTTATTTACCCGAATCGTTTTAAAGTTGGTATTTGAAGTTCGTAATAGATGCTGCAGCGTAAAACAGAAAATGGGCCATGTAGGTCCACGTCTTCGTATAGCCCCCATATACCGTACCCCCCGATATTCGGCATTTTGATGATTTTAGCGACATTATAAACAGATTTTTCTTCAAGTTTCGCATTTAAATATTAGATTTTAACAGAATTTTTAACGGATTTTATTTTTTTTTTGAAATTGTCAAATTTGTACCAGCTTTTTTACTTGTTTTTTTTTTTTTTTTTTTTTTTTTTTTTTTTGTGAAATGTAAGACGTTCATTAAGAAGTAGAATTTTGATAATGCACATGCGAGTACAAACTTATTGGATTTTCTCATTCCAGCAATGATCTTTTATACCAAAGTTCGTTTTTTTTATATTGATGAACTTCCATATCATTTTCATTTTGAGTTCCTCCTTATATAATATTAAAAACAAATATTCAGCTACGAATGAAGATATATTTGTTTTGTTTTGGATTTTTTGCAATACGCCGAAATTTAATGTAGAAAGTGCTTGCATTTGGAGAAAACCAAATAAAAAGTAACAAACCAGAAATCCCAAAATGTTTGACATCTTACCGCTACCACAGCTGTGATGTCAGCGGTTTTTGTGCTATTGATAGGTGCTGATCGATGGATGTTCCTATTGACAGATGAATTTGCATAACCATAGATCGTCGTCAGATGTGGTGTACAACTTCTGGGCATGGCAAGTATGTCACATCCGTTGCTATTGTTTTTGGCTCAGATGAAATTGTCAGACTTGTGCCACAACATGTTGCATAGGTGAAGAATGTGGAAACTTGTGCCGGTATGGAGGATACCTTTAACCAAGATTTTGTGCAACTTGTTTTATTTTTTGTGACAATGCAACGAACCTCAGCAATATTTTCGTTTCATTCAATAGGTGCTTTACCTTTGAGCGTTCTGTTTTTGCTTCAATGAATGGATAAAAAATTTGCATTGCAAAGCGTTTGAAATAAATTTGAGACAAGAAGAAATATGTAAATATCCACAACCAGATCGGAGAAACATGACAGCAGCAGCCACTACCGATCAATGAAACAGTTGTAAAAATAAAATTGTAGCTGTAAACATATTGAAGGTTAATATGCACATGTGTATGTACACTGGGCTACACCGGGGCGGAAATATTGGGACTTTAGTTGGAATAGAGATTTAATCTGACATTAAAAGACATGTTTATACTTGAGAAATGTAAAAATATCTAAAGAGATGAAAGATAAGTTTGCGAGAGCAGAAGTTTCTGTTGTTATGCATTAGATCGGAGAAGAACAAAATTGGAAAGATATTAATAGAGCACTAATAATTCGATGGCATTACTCATTTTAACTTTGTTAAAATTTGAATGTAGTCTAAAATGTGTAGTTTTATTACCAACTAAAACAAATAACCAAATAATGCAGAAATATTTTTGTCTTACAGATTAAAGGCAACTATGATAAATTGGCTTCATC